AAAAATGAATGTTAATAACGAGCTTTCATAGTAGCCTAATATAGTTACTAGTTAGCCTAATTTGGTTATAAGTGGTATTTGTTCTATGTTTAATATTAGGAGACCAAATTTATTCGTATATATCATATATATTGTTACGTCACACGGTCACGTACTAGGAAGTTACTAAAATCTTTTAAATGACCGATTGTACATTATTAAAATATGATTCATAAATAGTTTAAAGAAAGCATACATTTTATGGTTTGAGATCTAAACCAAAGACATATTGCAGACGAGATAAATTAGCACGTATGCATTTATACTAGGTACATTAGTAAATTGTAYAAAAATTATTGTCACTCCCACTCGCAGAATGATAATATTTTAATTTATTTTGTCGGTTCGCTCAATAAATATTGAATAATTATAAGAATTCATGAAAAAAAAAAAAAACATTATTTTTTGTTAGTTTTGGATGAATTTGATACTACAACACGATCAGCTAAGATAGTTGAAAAAATATTAGATTGTGTTATGATARATTTTAATACTTATGGCAATATTTCAAACGTAATGTCTTACGCAATGTTAATACATTTAATTTTGAAAATGAAAATTTAGAGATTATTTATACCACTATGATCTTTTGTATGAAATTATTGTTATTTGTTATTATACTTGCATGTTTATAAATTGAAAACTTTTTTTTAGTGCAAACAATGAATCCGGGGAAATTAAAAAATAACTGTTGCATATAAATTATTATTGTGTTATGACAGTTATGAAATAATGTGGATATTAAATATAGGTATATTATAAATTAATCACCAAAGTTTACCTCACAAAGGCCAATATTGTTTCTAATATTTTATTTAAAACATAATTGTCAATTGATTGTTAAATCCAAGACTTAAAGTAAAATACATAACCTCTAGATTTGCCGATCATTTAAATGACCGATCATTCCTATTTCGGAGAACATAATATAATATAATAACGTATATAATTATAATATTTATAACCAATGTAAAATTGTATATGTATTAAAATCAAAAAAATA